ATCGTGGTTTTCCTCTTTGCTGTCAGCTCAGGGGGCTTTTCATCTTGGGCACAGTGTCCATGCCATGAAAAACTCCTTGTGCCTTGTGGCAGTGCTCCGTGGAGATCGGTACATGCTGTGTTCAAGCCCTGTGGCCAGTGCCCCTTATTTTCCTGCAAAGGATGTTTCAAAACTGCATTGCAACAGCATCCCGGCAGACAGAATCTGGCCCTCTTGTAAAACCTGCGGTTTTTCTGTAGCAGGAAGGAGCCACTCCGGGGCAAATGAGTACAGATGTTCCAGGAGGAGCTCAGCTCATTAACCGCTCCACCTCGAACCATCCCCACCGAGGCCCTCGGTGCTTGGCAACCGCAGCCTCCCTGCCCATCAGACGGCTCTGCAGTTATTAGGGTCTTATGAAATATTAAGCAGCTTGCAGTGTTTTTAGTTAATGAGATGGCTCTTGGGCCAGCAGGCACCCGGGGAAGCAGTGCTGGACAGGGTCGAGCCGACGTGGGTGGGTCTCCACTTCCTGTCCTGTGAACCAGCATCTAAGGCACCTCTCTGGGGCGTGGCGGGTTGTCCTACAGGTGCTCACAGGGCGCTTCCTGGTTGCCAGGCTGTGGGGATGCCGCGGTGGACAAGGCAGAGGTCTGTGAGCCCCCGACAGCCTGGAGCCCAGCAGGGTAGGGTCATTGCAGAGATCGTCACTCACAGGGCCCTTCCATGGCCCACGGTGCCAGCCGGTTTGGAGGAGAGGCCCCAGTTACATTTATGCATGTCAGAGTCAAGAATGTCACAAAGTGCCGCCCTCTGCAAGGGGGGCCACCTTTCCCACGGGGTAATAGTTCGCGGGAACCCCTCAGCCATGGGTACCTGAACTCCTGCTGGCCTGTGGAGGGTGGGGCAGGACCAGGGGCAGGGTCCTCTGAAGGTGTGTGCTGCAGGCAGGGTCTGGAAGGTGGGCCAGCATGCCTGGCGCAAGAGGAGGGGTGGCAGGTCGGGCAGGGTCATATGCGGACCCTGGACTGGCGGCACAGCCTGCTTCACTTCCTGGACACTGAGGCCAGCGGGGCCTGTGAGTGGCATCTGAGACTGCCCCTGTTGGGAAAGGAGGGGCAGAGGGGCTTTGAGGGGCAGCACGGGTGGGCAGAGGTCTGGCTGGCTTGGGAAGCCACTGCCATCTTCGCAGGTGCCAGAATGCAGTCGCACAGCCCAGCTCCAGGCAGAGGGGCTACAGGTCCTGCGGTGCGATCGGTGGCCGGTGTGGTTTGCTGTCTGTGGCTCTTCCAGCCCCACCACCCCCCAGCGTGGCAGAGGTGGAGAGCAGGCCTCAGGGTGCCCAGCTGGGGTCTGCCTCACTCCTGGGAGTGGCCCCCGGCTTTGGGTCAGCCCGATGTGAGGACGCAGTGGGTGGCTTCTGAGCACGACATCCTAAGGGGGCAGCACACTCAGCCCGGGTCTCCCAGGGACCCTGCCCTGCCCCCTCCCCGTCACCGCCTTCAGCAATCGCTGCAGCCGCGCATTGCAACATCCCAGACACTTGTCCCTGGCGCTGGCGGCGTGAGCCCGGGTCCCGCTGTCCTTGGCTCTGCGCGCTCGCTGTCCGTGCTGAGTGACGCAG